ATTCTTCATCAACAAGGCTAACTATCCATCTCCAGTCAAGTTAGCCAGAGACACTGGAGTTCACCTTGGCAGCGAAGGGTTGCATGGCAACACATCATCATGTCCGTGAATGTGGAGGTGGACCGCACTTCAAAGAAAGGTTAATGTTCTGAGGAGACAACCTAATCAAGGATCATGAGCATGCAAGGTGATGTGTCAACACATCTTTACCAATTCTAAGATCCTGTTGGCTCAGACATGGCATGTCAAAGTAGTTCGGTTGTCTAGCCAGAAAGGAGACATTCACAGAATGCTCCATGTAGGATTCCTACTACAACCAAATTGGTCGACTCATTGCAATCTCTTTATGACGTGGGATGTTTATTGAAAATTCAATCCTAAGAAAAAGTTTGAAAGAGTTAAACTTGCTTTCTGATAAAGGGATCGTGCTCAAAATAAACTTAGAAAATGTTTTTTATAATTTCTTTTTTTATTTTCCTAGTTATTTTGAAGTTTCCTTTTTAATTAGATTTCAGAATTTTATTTGGTTTAAGTTTTATTAACTATGTCGGTTTTAACTCCTGTTCAAACGATTTTATATATTATTTCTCGATAGAAGTATGTCGGTTTTAACTCCTGTTCCAACGATTTTATATATTATTTCTCGATAGAGTTAGGTTTAAGAATATTGAAAATCTAACAGAAGATCATAAAAAAGAGAGAGAAACTGCCTGTCACCCAGCACAACAGGGAACAGTAGCTTAAGTCTCACTTTTCCTTTTCAATTCAGTTTTTTATCTTGCTTTAGCAGCCTCCCTTGGCAATATCTTTGAGTGAAGCAAAGGTTGGCTCGTGAACAATATCTTGAATTGATTGAATAACCCCTCGATTGTTCAGTCTTTTACAATTTTTAGTTCCAGGGTGATAGAAAAGCAGAATTTCAGCAGGCAGCAGGAGCACATTCCCATTTCCAAAGAGATTCCCCACATTAGTATGAAACAAATTACATTAACTACGATGTCGATGGCATGAATTTTGGTCCAAGATTCCATAGCAGCATAATCTTTCCTTCTTCATAGATTATATAAAATAACACCATTCTTCACACATCAGAGACGCATGCAAAGGAAAAAACAAGGCAAAACCAGAAGAAAAGGAAACAGATGCCCTGATAAGAAGGTAAAAGACTTTGACGCGGGAGCTAGAACTGCATTAGCTTTCATATAATTAGTTTTTTCTAATAGTTTATTTAGATAATATTTATGGCGATGATTTGGACGGCTAAGACTTAATTGTTTTTAATGAAAACATTTATTTTACTTAGAGTTTTGTTTCAGTTATCTATTTCAAAAGAAGGCACTTGAGATTAACTGAAATTTGCGATCCTAATTGCTATCAAGCTTACAAAGACATCAGGTTTCTCCTGGCAACACAGAGCTCGATGGCATGTAGACTACATAGTTGGCCCACCAACATCAGTTTGTGGTGTTGAGTCCGACGGATTTCCAACAATGGACTTTTAGGGACTTCGGGATGCAACCTAATTAATGGCTCATAGACTTTAAGGTTCTATCTCTACAAAACTTGACCAATTCTAAGGTCCTGTTTTTCAGACATGGCATATCAGAAGTTCTGATGTCTGGCAAGAAAGGAGGCATGACCCATATAAGATCCCTGCCAAATTGGACTAAATCTGAGGATGTTCCCGACCTTGACCGACGCTATTGAAAATATAACCTATAGAATGCCCTGAAAAAACTCAACGGTCGGATCAAAATTTATATTTGTTTCCGGACTACTTCTTAGACTTAAATCACATCACAAGCTCTGTTTCCGGACTTCTTAGACTTAAATCACATCACAAGCACCCCGAGTCATATCCCTGTTTTCAAAGACATTATCACTTTGCACCAAGGCTTCTCAAGAAGTTCAACTTCGATTAGCATCACATGAATTTGGTCCGAGATTCCACAACACCAGTCTTTCATTAACCATATCTCCGTAGAATGAAGGCATCTATAGCAGCAACAAATAGAGGCTCTAAATGCCTCCAATGCTCTTCAGTTGATGGTCATGACCATCATTATCAGGAGTAGGCAATGAAAATGATCCAAATTGCTGGGTTTCAAAATTGAAAATACAGGTTGGATTTCAAAGATCACTCCTCACAAGCCAGTGTAGTGATCCATTGACAAATGCTGCATCATATCTATTAGGCCAATGCATCTCGAAAAATTCCCTAACAGCCTCAACACTTCTCCTCCAAGTACCCGTGCCAATTGCCTATAATTTTGTGCATTCCTAGTTTTATATCTAATCTTTCACCTGCTAGGAAAAACTACCAAAGATTTAAATTGCGTTGTGCTCTTCTCCCCTGGCTTTGGTGCATTTCGAGACCTCAAAACAAGGAAGTGATTGGCCTGAGTAATCTGCAAGATGGAATCTATCAATGAGCTTTCGAATACTCTTTGGTAGCTTCTTCAACAAGAAGTAGCTCATGAGTAAATTTTTGGCACATCCACCCAGGGCACACACGACATGCTCGATTGAAACAAATTTCTATTTTAGATTCTTGAACGACCTCTAATTTCTTCAAGAAGTAGCTTCTTCTACAAGAATGAATCCTTCATTGTGACATACGAACATTTATGCACCCACTCAAGGGAGAGTATTAGGCAGGCCCTAACCGAACCCACCAAGGTGGCTTCATATTTGAGCCCACCCCTTCAATTGATGGCCTCAGGCAGAGCCTAGGTGGCTTCGGTTTTTGACCCATCACAAATAAGCACCGTCTTGCAGATTGAAGACTCTCTAATACTATTTACTGCAAGTGCAAATAGCCACCCCCCTCTAACCATTTCATGCTCTTGTACGTTCCGTTAAGAGCTGATTTGTACAAGTTGTATTCGAGGTTGGTGTTTGTTTCTAGGTACACTTCTACTGAGATTCTGAAGTTTCATACAAGATACAATCAATGCATTTCCAGCTAGTTTAGCTAGCAAAGTTAGTCTCTAGCCTTTTGGAGCTCGTAGCACGTTTCCATTTGTTTACTGTCTCAAGTGGAGCTGTAAATGAAAAAATTATAAAATTGATTAAATTATAAAAATATAATTAAATTAATTAAAAAATTTTAAAACCAATTGATTCGGTTTAGTTTTAATTTTATAAGCTTTAAATAAAAAAAATCAAATTAAAAAAAACTAAAAAAATAAAAAAATCGAGTCAAATTAAAAAAAAATGAGCCATACAGAAAAAAAAATCAAATTAGAAAAATCAATACTGGTCAATTTGAACCAGTTTTTATTCTAAAATAATTTAACTAAATCAAAACCAATTAATTTAAACTGATTTTAATTTTTTAAAAACAATTTAATTACTTTTTTTATATAAAAAATAAATCAAATTAAAAATAAAAATAAACAGAATGTTCTTGTTTTTTAACTTGATTCCATGTTAGCTGAGCATTATCTTTCAGGTTTAAATGCTAGATAAGGTATTGTTATTTAGACCAAGTTTATTTTTGAAAAGTAATTTTTAAGAAATAACTTTTTAAATTTTTTTATATATTGTTTGTTATTAGAAAAGTTGGTTAACAAAAAATATTTTTTGATCAACAAAAAATACTTTTTAGTCAATGAAAAAAACTTTTTGGTTAAAAGAAAACACTTTTTAGTTAAAGAAAAATTTAGCTTGATTTTCAGGAAAGTGTTTTTCTTTTTAGCTTTGTTTGTTTTTTGAAAAATATTTTCCGGAAAAGCACTTTCCAAAATTTATTATGCTTACTTACCATGAGGAAAATTGGTCAACGAAAAATACTTTTCAGTTAAAAAAAATTAGTTTGGTTTTCAGGAAAATGTTTTCTCAAAAAATTTAAATGAAAAACACTTTTTGAAAATTATGAAAAATCTAGAATTAGTTTGGTTTTCAGGAAAATGTTTTCTCAAAAAATTTAAACGAAAAACACTTTTTGAAAATTGTAAAAAATCTAAAAATATCATTATTTATTAATTATATTAAAATTGATCCTTAAACTTTTGATTGCTATATATATTTTGTTTTGAATATTTATTTTTCAATTTCATCTCTTAAAATTTAATTTTTTATATTAACTTTGTCAATTTTTATATTAACTTTGATCCTTATTTTTATAATTACTATTTGTTTTTTTCTTGTTATTTTTTTATTAAAATTTTTTATCTATCAAATTTGTTTCTCATTTTTTTTATTATTACTTATTTTATTTAAAATAATTTATGAAAAAATAATTATTATTATTTTAATTTTTTCATCTTTTATTTTTTTTAAAAAATTTAAATTTAATTCCTATTATTTTGATTACTATTTATTTTATGTTATATTTTTTTTCAATTTCATTCTCATTCAACTTTTAATTTGTAAGATTTATTCCTTTTTATTTTAATAAACTTAAAATTTATTCCTTATTATTTTAATAAATTTAAAATAAATATTAATAAATTATTCATTATATAATCAAATAACAAAAATTATTTTCTAATTTATTTTTAATTACTCTATTAAATTTTAAAAAATAATTTACAATTTACTTTTTAAAATAAAACTATTTTTCTTTAAACAAACAATACTCAAGATAAGCCTGTAAACAAACAGAGCTCAAAATAAGCCTTATTGTGAAAACCAATTACTAAAAAATAGCCGGAAACAAATTGTAGATCAACATGTCAATTCTAGCTATAGTCCTTTTAACAAAATGACATACTTTTTCTTAAATCCACTCACCGAGCTAGCTGGACTTATCCTGAGCCGATGTATTTTCCAGTTAAATTAAAACTTATCCCAACTTAGATTTTGTTTTGGATAGCTGCTCTTTCAAGTTAATTTGTGTGGAAGAGCACAAGTACATTTTCCACAACGACAAAAACACTTTCTTTTTAGTACATTGTGCTCAGAGAATCTGCTTTTCCCCTGTTTTACCAGTTTTCTTTCGTTAAAATGAGCCTTTAGAACAGTGTTCTTCCAAGAATTTTTTTTTCTGGCCGCCATTAAAGAAAGGACACTTCAAACTGAACAAAGGCACTAAGAACACAACCAAAGGAGTTTCACCTCAGAAGCAAAACTAAGAGAACTAAGAAATTCCTATTATCCTATACAGTAGAGAATTGGCATGCCATTTGTGGTAGTAGAATTTAGGACAAAAGGTGGCGTTCACGCCTTCTGCATTTAAGCCAAAACCTGCAAGGCTGGGCCTCATCCATTACCTGTTGAATTAGAGAAAAAACTGGTTAGCATGAATAGGCAGTGAAAAATAAAATGATTCTGCATTCTGCAGAAAAGGGGTAGCATAAACACTTAACAGAGAATTATAATCCCATGATCATCGTTTCCTATTGAATAATTATCAACAACTCATTCCCTTAGCATTTTAGGTTGAAGTTCACCCTGTTTGAGGCCACTTCTTTCAGGAAATCATAACCAGGCATCCATTCTCTCTCAGCCTCGATGTTCATAATCACTTTCCCATTAGCAAAAATGAGAGTGAGACCAGATTTTTAAATTTTACTTTAAATTGCATGTTCATTTCATAATTAACAGAATGTGGAAAAGCCATAGAAAATATTCATGAGCGAGAATCGCACTTCGAAATATGTCGGATGCAATGACTAAATGGATGAGAATTCTGACAGCTGCATGAACCAGACCACGTTTTACTTGTAAAGTGACAAACACAAGCAGCAGAGCAAAACACACTTCAACTCCCTCACTTAGAAAAAACATAAGCTTATGAACTAAATGAAGGAGTCAGTTAAGCATGTTAAGGAAAAAGTATAAGAATATGGAGATGGATGGAACAGGGAAAAAAAATACAAAGTAGGCCACAGGTTGTTATCACAAAAGCTCTAATGAACCTTCCTTTCCAGTTTAAAGTAAAAGAAAAGACATCATGGATGGAATGCTTGTGTTATTTTCATAGAAGTGACAGGTGAAACATTAAAGCAGAGAGGGAGTAATTCGCATGCCATGCCTTTTCCTTTTAACCCAAGATGATAATGACATTGCAACAATTACCTTTGCTTGGTTATGAAGCATGGATCATGAGAAAGAAAACAAGAAGTTTTAATTCTTTGAAGTCAGTTGCTTTTGGAATACCAGGTACCTGATAAACATTATTGAGATTCTTCTTTCTTCAGCAAGTTCCGATGGAAAATTTAAGCATAATGTGAAGCCTCATTGATGCAGAGCTTTTAAAAAAAAATATGAAAATTTTTCTCAGTTATTTTTGTTTTTTCTATCATATCTTAATTCGATAATTATTTAGTAGGATTTTTTAAGGATTCAAGTTTAGTCATAGTACTAGTATAAATAGAGTTGTATAGTTCATTTTTCGGCTAAATTCTGTATTTTGAAAAATAAAATAATAAAGAGACTGTTATCTTTCTCTCCTATTGGAGATTATCTACCACGTTTAGGGAACCCCTTCTTGGTTTTCTGTTCAATCCTAATTAATCTAGGTTTTTCAGCTGCGTTTATTAGCACATAAGATGGAACAAACTAGTGTGAAAGAGTAAATTTTCAATGATGCAAGAATGCCATGAAAATTAAGCTTTCACTCGGCAATAGTAAGCACGGATATCAGATTCAGGCTAGCCATCTGGGCCAGCCCAGCCGCTTGACCAGGTCCCGGACAACCCGGGACCTTGGCCGGGTCTGAAGAGCCAAAAAATATTACCACTGAAGATAAAAGATCCAGAAAACATAGGTGTTGTCACTCTCGCAGAAGAGACCAATTAAAGGTATTCCACTTGCTCAAACCTTTCCTTATTAGTTACTAACTCATATCAAAGTTTTATATATATATACTAGAAAAAAGTTTAATTTTTTCAATTTAGAATTAAAAGCCTATTAGTATATATATTTTATGTTCATAAAAAAATGTATTTTTTCAATGTACAATAATAAAAAAATTTGGTTTAAATATTTCAATTTAAAAAGAGAAAATAATACATTTCCTATGTAGAATAAAAAAAAATTGTAGTAATTTTTTAACTTTTATATATATATAGCCTACATGAATTGTTGTTTAATTTTTTATTTGTTTTTTGTGAGATATCTTTCTTGACTTGGTTAAACCCCGGCCAGGTTTAATAACTATAATTAGAGTGGAGAACATGAGTGATAGAGAGAGAAGCTCGTGCAACTACGTGGAATCACAAAATGGCATGATCAGATTTCTCACAGTTTCTTGAATTCTACTGTTCTGATCACTGATTGTGCTTGCGGTTCTAATCAAACAATTTGAATTTGAATTTAATCCTTAATCAAACATCAACCCTTTGAAAAAACTGGAGTTATTAAGTGGTGCAATTTGTACCTTCAAGCAATCTCTGGTTGCCAGAGGCTGCGTAAGCATCCGGTGGATCAACGATTGGCGAGGAGGAGTCTCTATTTCTTTCACTGGAATGCATTTTTGAAATACATGGAAACAGGTTTTTCTCATCCATCCCTTGATCATAAAGAAAGCCCTTGAAAACATGACCGCTTATATTCACCTTGGCTTCGTAGGCAACCTCAGCTTCATCACTATTAATGGCTGTCACCCTGACGCACCGGAAAACTGCTGGGGCGTGAACTTGAACTGGCAAGGACTGTTTGAAGCTTGCATCTATAATTCGACAAAAATAGGCAAATGACTTAGTTCCTCACATCTACTCCACATAACATTGACTCAAACAAATAACAATAAACAGGAGGAATTAAGCTTCAAATTCTACTGTTCTGTACACAGAACAGGTCAATTTCATTACCAATACAACTTATTTAGCTGCGAGATAATAACTTTAATATCATCCTACAATCAAAAGAATAAATTAAATGACGAGCAGATAAAGAGAGATTCAATCTTGGAAAGCAGGATTCAGGAACTGAAGTCCTAATGGTCCCTAAAATTCACAAATCAGAGAACAAATATATCAAAAGGAGAGAGGGAGAGGGGAAAACATAAGCGCTCACCCTGGAAACTAGAGCCAGTATCCAAAACAAAAGAAGCAGCAGCATTGTTATTAGAAGTACTAAAACTATTGGATGTAGCAGGCACATTTTCTCTTGGTCTTTTACCACCAATACAGCCACCACCAGAAGAAGAAGCAGAGGAGCCGCCGCCGCCGCTACTATAACCAAGCCTCTCGCGCCTCCTCGCAGCAGGCACCCATGTGCTCTTCAGGTGAGTGGTACACTCATACCCTCTACCCTTGCAACAAGTCCTGCACCTCCTGTACTGACACTCTTTCTTTGCCCTGTTTCCACAGTCCCTACATGCTCTTGCAGGACCAATATTTATTGCAGTGTCACAATCCTGAAGAACATTTAAAGTTCCCCTTTCAAGGAAACTTGATTCTTGCGGGTATTTCTTTAGAGTGTTCCAAGACTCTTGATTGTCTGCAATACCATACTGATCAGTGGTATTGGTTATTTGGTGAGTAGAGGGAACGTGTGGTGGCGGCTGCTGGTGGTGACAAGAAGAAGTTGGTGGAGCTATTAAGAGAATATTGCGAAGGCCTAACATGTTTGTATGGTCAGATGGGAAGGTGGTGGTGGTGGCTGCATGTGGTAGCGGCGGCGGCCATGGTTTGGTGGTGGTGAGGGTACTATGAGTTGAATTGGCCACAGCTGATGGTTTGTATCAAGAATGCAAGTGAAAGATCGTATATAGAAAAGACTTCCGGTGGCACTGAAGTGATTGGTCTGAGCTAGCTAGGCCTCTAGCTAACGTTGATATGGTGATAACATGAAGATAAATTATTTATTTCCTTATTAACGTGATGCTTTGGCCTTTGTTTATCTCTATTAATATTATAGATTTTAAAATTAATAACTATATAATTTTTTATTAATTTTAAGGTTTTTATTACTCAAATAAATAATTATATCTAAAATTTAAGTAATTAAACTTAACCTTAAAATTAATATGAAGGTAAATTACTATTGGGGGGGGGGGGGGGGGGGGGGGGGGGGGATTTGTTGCGGAGTTGCTTTTACTACCCGTAGTCGGCCACTGTGTACTGAAATTCTTCTATTTCCAACCGTAAATAACTTTTTTTTTATCAATGAATTATTGCCCTGGAACCAAAGATCCAACAGTAAAATCCCTGTCGCAGGTTCGGAAATTTTGACAGTGAGCTCAAAATGATGTTTATTTGAAATTTATTTTTTATTTAAAATTATTATTTTTTTATTTTTAAATTATTAAAAATAAGTTTTAAAATAATAATAATGAATATTATTTTAATATTTTTATAAATAAAAAAATTAAAATATAATCATTATCGTACACTAAAAAAACCCGGTACCAATTTAGAATTGATCTAAATTAATTTATAAAACAATATTGTTGTGGTGGTGTTTTTAAATAATAAAATATTATTTTAAATAAAAATAAAAAAATAAAATTGAATCAAGTAAAATATTATTTTAAATAAAAATAAAAAATTAAATTAAATCAAAATACTGATTTAACCGGTCAATTAAACCACATGTTGAGTCACTGGGTCTCTTTAATTTGACTGAATCGACATCAGCTTTAGTTTTTTTAAAAAAAAAACTCACTTTAGCCAAAGACTTCTTAACACGTATCATCGAATCTACACCAGCAGAATCAGGATCAGTAACTATGACTATGTTTCAAAAGAAAATGAAATGACGATGTAAAAGCCTCATTTCATGTATATTTAGAATTATAGTAACCCTGATGGTTTAAAAGTAATTTTTATTTTAAAATATATTAATATATTTTTTATTTGAAAAATTATAGTTAATATTAACATATCAACATAATATTAAAATATAAAAAAATTATTTTTAACAAAAACAATCCATTTTTAAAGGAACACGATGCAAACACTTTTGCATCACTTAGCATCGTATAAATGATTTTCTTTTTAAGTTTTAGTTTTTAATATGGGCCATCGCTGGTGTTTCGCTGTAAATGGAGCTAATTAATTTACAGTGTAAAAAACAATGCTGGAATGTTGTTATATATTTTAAAAAACAAAAATAAATCAACAACTCAAGAAAGTTTTTTAAAAAATGATGATTGTCAAATCTCATAAATTAAACTATAAAATGATGAGAATGGAAAAAAAAATAATGAAAAATATTGAAAAACAAAGTATCAATAAAACTATGTGATGTTGTTAAAACCCGTGAATAATATCATGTGGTCATGATAATTCAATAAAAAAGAAGCATAAAAAAATAAAGTTTAATTTTTAAAATAATTGAATTTTAAATAACAAATCAGAAAAAAAATGTATAAAAAATTGACTTCTAAAAAAACTTGGGCCACCCAAATAAATTTTTTATTTGGATCATGAGATAAATTGATTAAAAATAAAACTAAAAAAATAATAAAATTTATTTTTTAAAACAAACAACTTCAAATGATATAAATCCAAAAAAAATAATGTCAACTTGTATTAACTTTTCAAACTCGCAACCTTAAATAATAATTAAACTAGAAGTAGCGTGTTTAAAAGACAATTTTTTAAAAACCTAGCTTGACTCGCATCCCAGGTGACTATTTGCCTAAAAGCAGTTAAAATTTCAAAAAAAATTTAGAAAAAATTGATCCAGTGCAATATAATAAAAAATCAAAATTGACCATTATTTCAACTAACTCAGGAAAAATTCAGTTGAAATTTATTTGATGTTCACTTATATTTTTTAAATAGAATAATTTTAATTTTTTTACAAAACAAAAGGATTTGTTGACTCATGTTAATTAAAGTCAATCCATTTAACCTATAACTCTATAATTGTCACATATTTATAACTCTATAATTGTCACATATTGACTCTTAAATAGAACCTGTAAATAATGAGAAAAACTAAAAAGACTAAATTATAGTATCTCGTGTTAACTCGAGTCAAACCACTTAACACATAAATTTATAATTGTTTTAAATTGACTCTTGGATAGGGTATAAAAACAATGAGAAAAACTAAGAAAATTAAATTATAATAAATAAAATATTAAATAATAAAATAAAAAAATAGTATTTAAGAGAATAAAAATCTCACTTAAAAAAATCAAATGATAAACTAAAAATTTGAATTAAATAGCAGAATTAGAAAATAAAATTCAAATTAACAAATAAATAAAAATAAAGAGAATAATGATAAAAAAATTTAAAATAAAAGATCAATATCAAGAATCTAATAATGAAATTAAAAAAAATAAAATTTGATAAAAATGCTATGAATCAAAATTATCAATCAAAACATTGAGCGTCAAACATTAAATATAAATAAATATTAAAATAAATAGTAAAATTATAAAAAAAAAAATTATAAAAAAATTCAAAACATATAAAAAAACTAATTTCCAAGGAATTCAATAATAATATCTAAACTTTTTAAAAATAATGTAAAATAACCTGATTCTATTTTTATAATCTATGACATAAATTTCGAGAATGGATCGCAGTGTAAAAGGCAAACTCAAATTATCTTTCTTTAATTTTCCGGTAGATCGCACGGTCCCAATACACGCTAAAACACCGGTACGGTATGTTTTAGTTTTTTTTTTATATATATATATATAAAAACTAAAATAGGAGAGCTTAATTTCCCCTTCTTTTAATTAATCCACCGAATTGTAGAAACAGTAATTCCCTGTTAATTTGAAGACTACGGAACATGAAAGTTCAGTCATACTTATCCTAACAGCAATGATGCTTCTTTAAATTATTTACAGGTGGCATATTCGGAATGGTGGGATGGTTGCAGGGCCTACTATAGATACTAGCAGCCAGAGGCTTACGCGAGGCTATGATGAAGTGATCACCACATAATGGCAATAGGGATGCTGTATGGAATTCCTAGCATCTTGCAGGGCAGCGAGTTGTCATTCCAAGACTGGAAGTAAATAATGACTGTTTCTTAGTTTATTTTTGGAACATGCTGTGCATAGAAAGTGAATATATAAAAATTTATTCTATTCAAGTAAATTAAAACTTTTTTTATTGTTTTATTACATCGTTAAAAACAAATAAAAAATAATTTATTATTTTTTATAAATTTACTAAATAACTGAGACAAAATAAGACAAGAAATAAATTTTTATAAAAATTAAAAAGATTAATTTTATAAATTATTTCAAATAAAATACACAGTAATTAAAATAATAAAAACTAAATCTAACATAAACTAACTTTGATAAATAAAAATTAAAATAAAATAAAATTTAAAAAATTAATAAATTTTATCACATAAAATATATAATAATTAAAATAATGAAGATGAAATCTAAAAGATAAAAAAATTCAAACAATAAAAGAATAAGAAAAAATAACAATAAAAAAATAAAGGTTAAATTAATATAAAAAATAAATTAAATCATATTATAAAAGATAAATAAAAAAACAGAATAAAATACATATTAATAAAAAAATAAATATCAAACTTGATACAATTAATAAATAATAAGATATTTTTAAATTTCTTGCAACTTTTATAAACTATTTTTCATCCAAAATAAAAGGTAAATATTTTTTGTAAATCAATTTAATTTTTTTTAACTGAAAAATATTTTTATTAATTAATTTTTATAATAATAAATAAAAATGTAAAAGTTTGGAAAATGAGTTAGAAAAAAAAACTATTTTTCAATGAAACAAATAAGGTTTAGAAATAAAAAATCATAATGGTTTTGTTTTATGATTTTTTCATAATTAAATACCAAAATAGTGAATCTTATATATATATATATATATATATATATATTAGAATTTTAAAATATACATTTTTTTCCCATCCATTTACCTCTGTTGGTTGAAAAATATGATGGAATATTATATCATTTAAGTTTCAAGAAGTTAATATGAAGATTAAAAAGATTAATTTTATTCTTGAATTTTTAAGCTAGAACTCTAACTTTTTAAGCTAGAACTCTAATTATAAAATTTAGACGTGCAATATTCACCATTTTAAAGACAAAATTAATTCACCATTTTAAAGACTAGATTAATTCAGAATCTAAATTACTTTGAATTAAAAACAACTAAAAGTTACTTAGCTTGTTATAAAACCTCGATTGATCAAGGTAAAACCTAGGGTTTAACTAGTGGTTTTGCTAAAAAAAATTGATAAAAATAATATTATTATAATATTTTTTAAACATTAAAACTCATACTTTCCTTGAATCATATTTTGTAACTACAGCTAATGCATGAAAATCACAGAAGAAAAAAATTCCTCCAAACGGCTTAAATCAATATAAAATATATATATTTAAAATTGTTTAAAGATGAGATCAATTCTGATGGGAAATAGCAAAACAGTTCAACGCAAAAAGTCAAAAACACGCATAATTGGGGAGAAAATAGGGCAATGTTTTTTTTTTGTCTGTAACAATACAGGCCAAGGTAGGGGCTCAGGCACCATAGAAGAGGTTTCCCACTTTCCCTAACGTCTAGAAGACTCCTGCAATTATAGGAGAGGGTGTGGACCAAGCAACCAAACCTAGTCTAAGAAGCCATTTTTAGAGTCTAGAAAAGCCTACTACATTTCTGGCTCCACCACAGACATATATATATATATATATATATATATGGGCACTATACAACGACGTAGCATAGCATTGGAGGTATCGTGTCAATGGACATGAAAGAATGTTTACTTTTATTTTTGGACTTTGGGGTGCGCAGTGCATCTTCACTGTGATCTTCAAGTGCATCCTTCACTGCTTTCCTCGTTTACTGGATGTCCATCGGAGATTCTTTGACTTTTGCTCCCTTTGTTTTTC